AAATCTCACACTTGCACATCAACAATCGAATGATTGTCACATTATATTATGGACGTCATTAAGTGCAATAATTTTCCTTGTGAACATTATATAACATTTTATGTAAATCTTAATGTACATATAACAAGTTCGTACCATCACTTTTAAAATGGAATCAGTCAAAGAAACAACTAAATGGAGATAAACAGATCTCAAGGAGTTGAGAGGCCGTGAGATGGGCAGTTTGGATTAGCAATTGGGGTACAGACAAGAGTTTTGTGGCCACCGAAAATCTACATCCAGGGCCCAACCAACCTACCTAAGAAAATGACATTTCAAGTGGATGGAACAAGTAAACTTTAGGGAAAAAAGCAATAGAGGTCCCCCCAACTTTTGACCTATGTTGCACTTTTATCCCCAACCTTTCATTTTAGTAGCATCTAGGTCCCCCTCATCTTTAATTTAACAAGTCACACTGACGAATTTACCCTTATTAATAAATAAATAAAAAAGACTGATGAAGCAAGTATCATAAGTAACCTGGCAAATAGCATATTGAAAAGCACCACTACTGTCACATACAAAAGCCATCCAAGTATATGAGAAATAGCAACAATTAGAAAATGTCAAATTGAGCCGAACATAGACTATCAAATATGGATAAACGTTTAAGATATCTCTATAAGAGACGATGATGGATTATGTTAAAAAGATTATAACAGAGTCAACATATGAAATGATGAAAGGATTACAGCTTAAGTACGTCTTCTGCCATGGTTGCCACAGAGAATAGAATGACTATTCAATAATTTTGATCATCAGAGAGCTACAAAAGGCATCCAAAAAGAAATGATAGATGACATAAATAACAAACCTGATGGCATTAACCCTTTTTTCATGCAAATTTTTTACTTGACCTTTGGGCGGGCATTCGCTCACCCTTGACTACACGTCAATTGGGACCATTTGCCAGCAACTTGAATCCTGGACAATGCTCCTTGAAAAGTCTTCTCTTAGAATCGATGTGAAAATGGACTATACCAAGAGGAAGTCACGACAATTATCTAGGCCCGAAAAAATTGTTCATATTGGCAAGTGATAACTATGCTGTCAGATCCAAGCAAATGGCATCATAACTATGAATCTTAGGTTTAAAATGTTCCGACAAAACATCAGTGCCTTAACCTACAAATTTTTCCCATATCTACACTTGTTCGAAATTAATTGCAATTAGTTCCCAGATAAACAAGTTGTAATTTCAAGTTTCATTTAATGCATTACCTACGATCATTAACAGAATTGTCAAAGCAACATTAATTTTGAGTTCTATAATGCAGTAGCTATTTTACATTGTTTTAGCCATTCAAAATGACATAAGACCTCGAACAAAACATCTTACCTTGAATTATGGAACCTCTCCAAACATACAACTAGTTAAAATCAAGTAAACAGAAATGAGGGGCAGATATAACAGAACAACTTGTTTTCTAAAATGTGTTACAACACTATGACAATGAATTTCTCTCAGCCCAATCTAAATTCCAGTCAAGTAGGAGTAGCAGTGTACCACATGCTCAATGATCTCGATATGTACAAGTAAATGCTTATCAAAGATTAGAATCTACACTTCCACTCAATTAACCAAAAATAAAAAATAAAAAAATTACCATACATACATTAGAATAGCATCGAATCACTCTCGCAAATGTACGCATACAAATGTTTAACATCCAAAAATATATGGAAAAATAACCAATAACTAGAAATGGACAAATTGACAAAATTGCCATGATGTTTCAAAGTCAAGCATGAGATCATCAAATATGGAGAAGACGTTTCCACACAAATGCTAGATTATATTGAAAGGATTATAGGCAAGTCAAAACATATGAGATGAGTTGCAACTATAGGATCAAAATATAAGTTAATGAACTAGAAACAGAACATCTTTAAGCAGAAATTGAAGATAAGGAACAAAGTTTTAACAATTTAACAATGAGAAGAGTATATCTTCGGCCATTGTTGCGAGAGAGAACTGAATGAGCATCTTCAGTTATTTGATCTCTAGAAAGCTACAGAGAAGGCATCCAATAAATATAATACAGACGACATAAATGAGAAACCCGATCACATTAATCCTTTCCTCACCTGAATTTTTACTCGCCATTTGGGCATTCACCCACTATTGACCATGTGTCTTTTGGGCCATTTGCCTGCATTTGCAACATGATTCCCAGACCACACTCCTTACATGACAATTATCTAGGCCAGTAATAAAGGCTCCATATACCAAATTAAGCCGTCAGATCCTAATAAATAGCATCATTACTCTGAATTTATGATGTAATTGTTCTGATACTTTGCAAATGAAATAACCTTAAAAATATTTCCCGTATACACACTTGTTCAAAGATAATCATAATTAGCTTCCAGGAAAATACGTTGTAATTTCGAGTTTCATAAAATGCAATACCTACATCACATAAAAGAATTGCCAAAGCAATTATAATTTCAAGTTTCTATTATGCATTACCTACTTCACATTGCGGAGTTGTATTAGGAATTCATGATAAAGGGAGACTAGGAACATAATGTTCTGATACTTTGCAAATGAAATAACCTTAAAAATATTTCCCGTATACACACTTGTTCAAAGATAATCATAATTAGCTTCCAGAAAAATACGTTGTAATTTCGAGTTTCATAAAATGCAATACCTACATCACATAAAAGAATTGCCAAAGCAATTATAATTTCAAGTTTCTATGATGCATTACCTACTTCACATTGCGGAGTTGTATTAGGAATTCATGATAAAGGGAGACTAGGAACATAACGCTAACATCTCATTCTGGAATTATGGAACCTATCCAAAAATACAGATAGCTAAAATCAAATAAACAAAAATGGAGGCAGATTGAGACAATAACAGGAAAATTGCCATTAATTGATCAAGAGAAGTCTATAATGTTTTACAATGCTACAACATTGAATTTCTCTTCACCCAATCTAAATTCCAGTCAAGTAGTAGTAGCAGCAGTAATAATAACTTTTAATCAAGCTACAGAATTTTGTTCCCATTCTTAATTAAACTGAAAAAAAATTTAAATTATGCATCACTACCCTGGTTGCGATCATTGGAAATATGGAGTCCAGGTTGAGCAGCACCCCGCCGTGTCCTGGAAGGCAGAATGTTATCCAAATCGACCTCGGCAAGCGGATCATCAGACAGATCACTATCAACACCAGATAGTTCACTCTCGCCGTCAACACTAGAATCATCATCGTCATCGAGGTCGGATTCCTCAATCAATTTCCCTTTCCCTTTATCATCCCTCGCAATCCCCTTCCCCTTACTATTAACAATTGCTTCCTCACCATCCGACTGTTGTTCATCATCGTCTTCTTCGCCTTCGTAGTCTTCTTCATCATCGTATTCATCCTCTTCTTCATCTTCAGGATAGGAAGATTGCTTCAACTCGGCTTTTTTGTCATCCGCAGCACATGAAAAGGCGTCATTGTGTGAGAGGGTTTCAAGTTTTCGCTTCTTGGTGGGATCAGCTTCACGTTCTTCTTTGTCTAGGGTTTCGTCGACGGGTTCTGGGGGATCGGGCTTGCGTTTTACAGTAGATTCCCGCTCTTCTTCGCCTGATTTCACGTCTGCCATTGTTAATTGGTGATGGAAGGTTTCCAGAGTTGTGATTCAGCTAGGGTTTTGCACACGCAGGTTCATTCGGCTAACAATCAACAATTCCAGTCGGCTAAGATGGATAACTCAATCACAGTGGGCCGGCCCTTCGATTTGTAGCCCGTTGTTCTCTCTAATTTCTTGTCATATTGGATCTTGATTTTTCTACAGTGAGGGTTAAGGTGCCCTACATATTTAGTTATATATATATAATATAGTCTTATTTAATTTTAATTTTATTAATAAATAATTAATAATATTAGTTCTTTACATATTTAGCTATATGCGCAATATACACTTATATAATTTTAGTCTGATTAATAATTAATAATAACATTAAATCAATTTATTCGACATGAAATTTTAAAAAAAAAATCTTTTCTTTTTCATTTGTCAACAATTTCTTAAATTAATATTTTTAATATTATATTAATTTTTATTAACAACTTTTATTATAAAAATATATCTTAAATTTCTTCCCTCGATTGAATTAATCAATTTAAAAAAAAAACATTCATATTCCATTATTTAAATGGCTATTTCATTTGATTGTTTCAAACATATCCTAACAACTAAATAATATATTAATATAATAAAATTAATGAATCAAAATGTTACCATATAATTTGATAAAATTTCATTTTATGTTATATTTACCCTTATTAAGATGTTTTAATTGGTAATTACATATAAATCTCTATGATACCTAAGTTTAGATCAAAACGAACTATCAAATGATAGGGTAATTATATTCCCACTAGAACTTTTATTAACTACACAAACATTATAACAATAATAAACATTTATAATCTTTGCTCATATTCACACTTAAGTCCTCAATTATTTTTCGCTATATTCTTATCATTATATAAAACTAAATAAATTATTATAACATTATAATACGTGTTCAAATTTTAAACCATCTACACACAACATTGACATATTAAAAATTTCAATGTACAGAGAGAGCTTACAATGAAGGAAGATGGAGATAGTCCATTAAGGTTACGTCTTTGAATTTCCTACCACTTGAGAGCATGTGAAAGAAATTGAGATGACTATTTTTATAATTAGTAATTAATTTAAATAAATGGGAGGGCAGATGTAGGGCTGCCTTGTGTTAGTATATATCCTATGTAATAAACATAATTAAGATCATTATAGCTATAAAAACCAACAATTCTCATTTTAGAACTGTTGTCAATGAAAGCCATATGTTTTGGGCTGGAGCTTCTCAAAACTCAAAAATAGCCATAAATGATGCTTATATGTGTGAATGTATTCATGTTGAGCATCGAAGTTTTGGAGAAATTGATTTGCGTGAGATAGATTCTACAATATATATATATATAGTTGTTTTGGTTCTTTGACGAAATTTTTTATTATGCTAAATGATAATGCAATTCTTTTTTCTCTCTATTTTTATTTTTATTTTTATATATACATCCATTTGGGACATTCTTAGCATGTGACAGCATGACAGTATTATTGTCTCATTATATTAATGCAAATATGCATTATTCTTCTTTAATTCATAATTATGAATTTGTGGAATCATCTTTGACTGGACATCTATATGCCAAATCTCATTTTATCATTTTGACTTATCTTTGATTTGACGATTTAAATTTTCAAAAGTTATAATTTTATTATTTTTATTTAGTTGTTTTATTATTTATTAAACTATGCTTTAATAATTACTTTTATGAGAGATGACGTGATTAGCATATGTATAATTATATTGAACTTTGGCAATTAGAATTTCGTTGAACCTTGAACAACAGCTACTTTGTATTGGTCTTTGACTAATTTTTATATTCAATAAAATCATTTGAGGTTTTTTTTTTTTTATTTTTTTCCATATTTACCCAATTTTCGGTATTAAACAATTTTTGAAGTATTAATTACAATTAGCATATGTCGCTGCATCATTTTGAAATTTGAGCACAATCACATTCTTGACAAAGACATGTATTGTATGATATTATATCTGCTATATGATTTTTTTCAACATTGGTAAATAAATTACTGATCTAATATATCGATCACTTTTTTTGGTATGTTAGAATCATCATAGACGAATACATCATCGTCTAAAATACTAAAGGAAACGAGGTCTGATTCATCAATATATCAACAACATGAGTTAGCTCATTAGTATTATTTGAAAAATGTCAAGTTTTCCCCTTTTTTTAATTGTTAATGTATATTTTAGTTGTCATATCTTAAATTTATTTTCATATTTGTAGGATTAATTCACCAAACTAAGATTGTGTTATCTTTATAAGACAAGTAAATGCATTTGAAGAAGAGTATAAATTATAAAAGTATCTCTACTTCGAAAAATCTACAACAATAAGAACAATCCTGCTAAAGTTTTAAAATGATTTTTATATGACGGAGAGGTATTATATAGTGTCAACATTAATCAATATTTTTCTTATAGAAATGTCACTATTAGACTAATAAGTGTTTTGTTAATAATATTTTCAGGGAAGTAATTTTCAAGCTACATTTAAGGGCACAATCAAAAAATTATTTCCCATGCTGGAGAAAGGAAAAGCATACCGACTTTGAAATGGAAAAATAATTAACCCTTATATATATATATAAACAATTAAAAAATATCACGCATATCATTCATTTGATACATAAGACGTACAATACACGTGCTTACTACTAGTGTATCTAAAATACTATATAATATCTAAAATAACATTATAATATTGTTTTCTATAATTAGTAATTATTGTTCTACATATTTTGTAATAGAAATATAAACATGACATTACAAAGCATGTATTTATTGTATTCCTATATCAAAATCAATTTCAAAAAAATTAATGGACAATGGGGATAAAGGTCTGATTTAGTTTTGTTTCGTAATATTGAAGAATCAAAAACAATTTCTCATTTGCTTGTACAAATTGTCACATGAAAATGAATTTTAGAATGAAAAGAGAAAATGCTTATACTTGTTTCGAAACGATTATGGAACCATTCCTCAAATGATATAACATAATCAGCAACTGAGGGTTGAATCCATCCCTTAATTTGCATACTTTGAAGCAGAATGCCAACCATGAAGATTTCATAAACAAGCTAGGTTTGTGTTGCAATAGAATGTAATTATGTTTCAGAAAAATTTCATTCCTAGAGAAATGTAACGACGAGAAAATGGGTGTGAGGTGTGATAAAGATTTTATTACAAAATCATTATTGTAAATCACATAGACAGCAATTTTGGGTAGTTCAGACAACCTCGTCAAAGTAATAACTTCTTCTGTAAGCACGTGATCATTGTTAAACCTAGGAACACCAGCGTGTTTGATAACATCAATCCTAAGTTCAAAAAAGAATGATAGATTTGCTCATCAGTGGTCTTTCATTGTTAGACCATTGGATCTTCATTATAGTTCTTTCTAATTGGAAAATCTTATGCGATTGAACTAAGGTGAACAACCTTGACAAGAGCCTTCGAATAATCCAAGAAAGCAAGTTAAAAAATATTGATCATATAAAAAGTAATTAATTACATATTGAAATGAATTCATATGTTCATCTTCGATGAACTAGCATTATTTTAGGAACAAGCGGATGTGTAGGATCTGCCATGTTTGTACTTCCACGTATGAAAATTTGTTACTCGTGTATGATGACACGATTTGAAGGAGAAATGAGCATCAGTGTAAGTGTTATGCCCTAGATCTAATCGATTTAGGTTGTAAACGCTTTTAATATATTTAATGCATTTGATTTTGGCGAGATCTATTATTTATTTAAATTAATTTTGTGATAAATAATATTAAATAATAGAATCCGAAGATCCAAATTTTAGGTAATCTGTTAATCACAAGGAGTTGTGATTGTGAGATACAAATTACATATAATTGGATCTTGAATAAACCATGGTCATAAGTAATAACGAGATACGGATATCGTTAATACAGTTAGACCATCACGTGTGGCATTTCTTACTTGTGAAGTAAGTAGCTGATCTCACGAGTTAAAGTGTGGTGACACTTAAATGAACACGTGGATGTTTTGTTATAGAACAAAACATTGGAGACCCGCTAAGAAATTCCATATGGATAATTATTTGAGTGTCAGTGGCTAATCTCTAACGTTCGGTGGTGGAATTGGTCCTTTGACTTGAGGGCGTCATGGTACCTTATATGGGGACAGTCATACTTTGGCGATGTTGGATGTTGCTCTGAAAGGGGCCGGTAATACGACATCGTTCGGGTACGTCAAGAATCGTATGAAGGTTGTGATTGATCAATAAAGGATTCGTCACTCTTAGATAGTAGGAGATTATAATCTGCGTTTCATTCAATTAAGTCGATGATGAAATCCTTGGCCAAGGTGTACTCATAAGTCGAAAAGGAGTTTTCGATTTATATTGACTTAATAGTGGAGTGAAAGATATGATCAATGATCGAGATTGACACAATTTCATATCTCGTAATTGATCGGATCGTATTGACGAAGGGATAATAGTTTCATGGTAAACGAACGAATTTGATTTTGTCATACCACGTGACATTTCCCGTCACATGTATTGTCCTGACACATTGTTAGATGTCAATCAGGGACGGCGAGTGTGAATTGACGATAAATTAAAAGGGTGTATTAATTTATCAATTTTGATTAGATCAAAATAATATTTCACGACGTTAGGCATCGTGGTCGGGAACCTAATGGGTCGCACACAAAAGAGAATTGGAATATTGCAAATTGCCAATTGGTTAATTTAACAATCGTTGGATAAATTAATTAATTGGATTTGTTATTTATATTCCCAAATTAATTAATTGGATTAATCAATTCACGTATCGGGTTTAATTAATTGGATTAATTAAATATTGGACCGCCGGGCCGGGTCCGTTTGGGTTTATATATATACATAGCTAGGGTTTGAGGTTCATAAGGTTTTCATTATTCTTGCTGGCACAAGAGAAAAACCCTAGCAGTTGCAGTCTATTTTCTGTGTGGATTTCATTGGAGGTTGGACAATTGGACAGCTGTAGGAGGCAGATTCAAGCTGTTGGAAAGGAATAACGCGAAGGAGTTTGCAAATTAAAAGAAAAGGTATAATTTTTATCACAATTTTTATCTAAATAATA